ACACACACAGCACCCAGACACACACAGCACCCAGACACAGACAGCACCCAGACACAGACAGTACCCAGACACACACAGCACTCAGACACACAGCACTCAGACACACACAGCACCCTCAGAGACACACAGCACCCAAACACACACACAACGCACCCAAACACACACACAGCGCACCCAGACACACACAGCGCACCCAGACACACACAGCGCACCCAGACACACACAGCGCACCCAGACACACAGCACCCTCAGACACACACAGCGCCCAGACACACACAGCGCCCAGACACACACAGCGCCCAGACACACACAGCGCCCAGACACACACAGCGCCCAGACACACACAGCGCCCAGACACACACAGCACCCTCAGACACACACAGCACCCTCAGACACACACCCCCGGGCCTAATTTTTTTCCCAGTCCGGCCCTGTAGAGCAGAACCAGATGATTGGTGGAGCTTGCTGATTGCCACACATCTGCCATAGGTCTTCTCTCTATGAAGTACTAGATAGTATTGTGATGTGATTCCAGCATGGTCAAAATTTAGTAGGCCAAAATCTCCATGTGGCATATGTGTATGTTGTGTCAGTTAGTTAGCTACACGTAGCTAGGATACTGTCATCAGTGTACTGAGCATGTGCAGGAATGCAGGAACTGAAATTGCACTTATTTCCTTTGTCTTGGATGAGCCATGTGGTTTGACTAGATGTACAAGTCTATATTCTGCTCATTGATTGGTTAAAGGTATATGTGGGTGTAGCTATTAATGGGAGGAGTTATAGTGCTATATAAGGAATGTACACTATGTGTTGCTCTCTCAGAATGTTGGAACAGGAGTTCATCTGAGACCCGATCGGTAATGTGAATAAAGGCCTCTTACTTCCTGAAGACTTGTGTCCAAATCTCTGTGTTTGGCTTCTGCATGCTTACACTGCAACAGTATCAGTATTGATTATCTCCCCATGGGTGGATCATTCTGGAGACTGAAGACTGCACTAGAAAAAAAAAGGTAAATTGAGTTTGTGTTTTTGTTGGTTTTTTTTATTGAAAAAGAGGATCCTGAATCTCAAATAAAGTGGAAAACTCCAATTTTAAAAGTAAAGATAAATATATATTTAAAATTTGAAGCCCTGTGCTACTGCTACTATGTGTTGCTCTCTCAGAATGTTGGAACAGGAGTTCATCTGAGACCCGATCGGTAATGTGAATAAAGGCCTCTTACTTCCTGAAGACTTGTGTCCAAATCTCTGTGTTTGGCTTCTGCATGCTTACACTGCAACAGTATCAGTATTGATTATCTCCCCATGGGGTGGATCATTCTGGAGATTGAAGACTGCACTAGAAAAAAAAAAGGTAAATTGAGTTTGTGTTTTTGTTGTTTTTTTATTGAAAAAGAGGATCCTGAATCTCAAATAAAGTGGAAAACTCCAATTTTAAAAGTAAAGATAAATATATATTTAAAATTTGAAGCCCTGTGCTACTAGCCAGGCCTTAAAGTTACTTGCCACTGTGAGTCACAGCATACTCACCAGGGGTAAATGACTGCCCGTCAATGGCTAGTGGAAAGTTTGACCCTGAATACATTTTACTATAATATATACACATAATTTGTGCCTGATGCCTGCAAGTTTAAAAGGGACAGTAAGCTTTTTAAAAAACTACTAGTCCAGTTTTTACACTGCTCACATTTTTTGATCAAGCGTCTAAATTGAAAACTCATCCCTGAAGTCCAAGAGACATTATACGTGTGTCCCTACTACAGAACATGCTATCACAAAAATGTGATTGGTAAAATATAGATAACAGCAAAGAAAGTTTGATCAAGAAGAAAAGCCTGATAGAAAAAAAATGATGTAAAGGGGACTAACTACAACACTGGGCCAGGGACTTTGGATAAGGAAGGAGAAGTGGTAAATAGTACATTATTATTATTCCCTATTAATAATAAATGATAAAATTCCTTGTAGTTGTTATGTGGCTTTACCACAATCATTGCTGAGTCTGCCGAAATCCAAAGCAGAGGAGCCAGCATTCATTCACATTCACCGTGCATGCACAGCTTGTGACTCTGAATTACTTATGACATGCAGAATCATCATGAATCCCTCTAGTGAGAGTGTTTAGAACAATAGAGTTCACATATGGCCAGCGCATTCCAGATGTCAGGAAGCTGGAGAACGGTTGTTCTGAAAGCACCTGTATCTGTTTAACACACTTTACCCTTCTTAACCCCTTACTGGATCAAACAGAGTACCTGTACACAAAAACATTTTTACTATGTGTGTTCTGTGATTCAACAGCTGCTACATTCACTGCCCATTATTCCAAGTTGATGCAACAACTCATTGCTACACAAGTCTACCAGTTAAAGGGACACTGTAGGCACTGTATTTCATCTCACTGAATTGGTTATAGTGCCTACAGTTCCCTTGCACTTTCCCTTTATTTAGTGTTGGTCACCCCTGACCCCACTAGAGGTATGAGTAAAGCAGACTTAACACACTTCCTTGTAGCCATACCAATTTATATCTACAAAAGCACTGTGGTAGGTTGAATGCGACCATCTTACACTCTCACAGCCTCTATTGCGGCTTTGGTTAATGCATTTTCATTAGCCAAGCAACATGGAGGGGAATAATTCAATGCTGAAAGGAAGGACATGGACAGGGAACTCCCTTCTCTCCTGCTAGTGGCTGCACCTTCTCGAACCAATGATTTCACTTGACTCTGTGCATTTCATTTCAAGGGAGACAAAAGAGACTTTAAAAGCGAAAGTGGATATCCTGGCAGGGGAATGGTGCATAACAATGGTAGGAGAGGAGAGTGAGGTCATAGCACACGGTCATGGATTGCATTCATTCACTTGAAGGAATGAAGAGATGAACGCAGCAGCATTGGAAGAAAATATTATCTTTCCCATATACACAGAGGCTGGATGGTCTTTTGAAATGCTTACTCTGAGTACTAGGGTTCTGCTGGAAAATCTATAGAACCAGTTAATCAATTTAAAACAACAGGATTATGAAAACAGAAGATTAGCCTGCACATTCCCTATACACGCTAAAATAAAGCACATTTCATTCAGTAACTGGCAGCCACATTTAAACCAAGGCACAAGGCACAGTTTCACAACACAGTAATATCTACAAGTGTAGAAAATGAGACATACATAGAGCAGTAAAGTATAAAAACTGAGATGTATTGATTTAGTGGTTAAACCCACAAGATAACAGAAATAGAAGGCACAGTGATTCCACCAAGGGTATCTTCAGTCCATTATGAAATAAGTGGTGACAATGGTGCAGTATATCAAAAAAACAACATACAGCTTTAATATAGGCAGACCCATCAACATAAATGATTTCCTCCACAAAATCAACCACCAAACTCAATTTGATCACTCACAGGTGCACTTTATGCACAGGGATTGGCTGAAGGCAACCCGGGAAGAAGATTCTGGGCAAATTCATACACCTGACGTTTGGGGATATCTCTATGCTGTACTTACTTGAAACCTGCAGCCATTTACCCCTGAGGAAGTCTATTTTATCAAACGAAATGTGTAGGACTGTTTTACTTTGTGTTTACATTTATTTTATTGTATTTTTAACAGTAAAAAGTTAAAGGGACACTATAGTTACCAAAACAACTTTTGCTTAATGAAGCAGTTTTGGTGTATAGGTCATTCAGTTATAAAGGTAATACCTTTTCCTCTGCCGTTTGCTTCCAAGATCCTTGAGAGAGTTGTGTATCCGAGATTGACATCCCAAAGTATCCAACGATTTAATCGCTGCTAAGTCTCGCAGCCATTACTCTATCCTAATTTTCCTTGATCTTTCATACTGCCTTTGACACTGTTGATCATAAACAGCTTCTTCTCATTCTCCGTAATCTTGGTCCACGAGAAACTGCTCTCCCATGGTGCTCCTCCTACCTCTCCCAGAGCTTTTTTCAGTGTTTCTTTCTCTGGCTCTGCCTCTTCTCCCCAATCCCTCTCTGTTGGAGTCCCCAAAGGTTCTGTCCTTGGTCCCTTACTGTTCTCCATCTATACTGCCTCCCTTGGTAAACTCATCAGCTCCTTTGGCTTCTATTATCATTTATATGCAGATGACACGTAAATCTACCTGTCCTCTCCTTATCTCTCTCCGCCCATCTTGACTCGTGTCTCTGACTGCCTCTCCGCGATTTCCAACTGGATGGCTGCTCGCTTCCTTAAACTCAACCTATCCAAAACAGAACTTCTGGTCTTTCTTCCCTCAAGTGTTGCTACTCCCATGTCTGTCTCCCTCCAAGTCAACGGCACCACCATCACCTCTACCTCGCAGGCTCGCTGCCTAAGTGTTCTCTTTGACTCTGACCTCTCCTTCACCCCTCATGTCCAGTCTATTGCTAAATCCTGCCGCTTCCATCTCAAAAACATAGCTCGCATCCACCCCTATCTAACACCAGACGCAATTTATAACGAATGCGACTGCGAGGCTCATTTTCCTGTCCGCCCGCACCTCCCACGCCTCTCCCTTCTGTCAGTCCCTACATTGGCTTCCAGTTAGATATAGGGCTTAAGTTAAGATTCTGGTGCTTGCTTACAAGTCCCTACATAATGCTGCTCCAACCTACCTATCCTCCCTAATACTCAAGTATATCCTGATGAAGCCCCTGCGCTCTGCCGAACACCTTCGTCTATCCTCTGTCCGTACTCCCACATGTGATGCTCGCCTCCAAGACTTCTCCAGGGCTACACCTTTTCTGTGGAACTCCCTTCCCTTCACCATGAAGACTTTTACCCAGTCTCCACTCTTTCAAAAATCTTTGAAGACACACTTCTTCAGGAAACCATATCATTTAAACTGTTAGTGGGTTTTCATTCCATCATGGTTATGCCCAGGGCCGGCACCACCGTTAGGCAAACTAGGCATTCGTCTAGGGCGCCGGCCTGCTCGGGCCGCCCACCCGGCATACTAAACAGCGTGCGGGAAGAGTGAGAGGCTGCGCCACACTGGACCCCAGGAAGGGGAGTGTTTGAGTGTCTGTCAGTGAGTGAGTGTAGGTCTGTCAGTGAGTGTTTGTGTGTGAATGTAGGTCTGTCAATGAGTGAATGTATGTTTGACAGTGAGAGTGTGTGTGTGTATGTGTGTGTCAGTGAGTGAGCATATTGTCTGTCAGTGAATGTGTGTGTGTCAAAGAGTGTGTGTGTCTGTGTGCGTCTGTAAGTGAATGAGTATG